CATTGCAGAGTTTTAAGTGTAGACCTGCCCCCAGACTTTAAGAAAAAAAAAAAAGAGAGAGAGAGAGAGAGAGAGAGAGAGAGTGACCTAAAAAGCAGATTTTCTCCTTTCAGATGAGCAGGACATATCCTAACTCTGCTATTTTGTTCATTCTACAAGTGTTGGAACCCATAGGCATGGAAAAAGAGAAAGACAAAGCACACAATTCAGAAAATAGGATTCACCTGCAGACCTGGGAGGAGAATTTTGATTCTATTACGGTGTTGATCCTGCTTGCTTTGTGCAGATGAACAGCCCCATTGTCTTCAGTGTGACTGCTCACGTGAGCACAGACTGCACGACTGGGGCCTAAAGATGTACTTAAATGTATCTGTTCACAAGGAAATACTCTGATGTCAACTCCCACACTCCCACAGTATGTTTGCTTTTTAATACTACTGTTAAACAACAAGATACATAGCTAAAAGAACCTTGGCCACCCCCTGAGGTGGACATGTAGGAAAACAAAAAAATGCAATAAGACTTATCACTTAGCCAGTTTTTCAGTTGTAAACGGAAGTTCTGTAATGCAAAATGTGCAAGACAAAAATAACTAAAGTCCTCGGCACAGTGGATGGATGGGGCAGGGGAAAGGGAAAAAAAAGCAAGAGACTAGATAAGCATACTAGCCAAACCAGCAAGCGGAGTCCAAATAGAGCAACTCACATACAGAGCACTGGTGACATGGAGGCAGCTAAACTGAGAGGGTGAAATCCAGGCCCCATGGAAGTCAATGCAAGTTTTACTACTGACTTTAATGGGTCTAGGATTTCACACAGAAAGACAAAGGGAACAAGATAAACCACCATCTGGGCTGCCCAACCCACCACAGATAGCCAAGGACCAACAGAAGTCTCAAACAAGAGAAACACACATTTACAATATATGTAAGAAAAATACATTACCATCACTGAAAATATATTTTAAATATTCAAATGAAATGTTTTAGATGTTTAAAATATGCAGAAAAGAGTTGAAATATATGAACTGTTTATAGCTATTTATTTTAGAATATATATCAACATATATACAATACATATAGGGACAATATGAAAAATGCAATTGGATTATATATCATTATATTGTCCGAATTTTAGAGCCTTAATGGCATTTATTTCAATTTCAACCATAGCAGATTTCCAAAACTACTCAAATTAGACTTCTTGAGTCAGATCCTTAGCAGATATAAATCAGAAGAGCTTGATTGGTTTACACCAGTTGAGGATCAAGCCTTGTATTTATCAATTTACTCTTTAATGTACTTGGATTGCACAATTCTTACTGAAGTCAACAGGAGTAAGATAGGCAATACTAGCTCCTTAAATTACATTTCTGCTTTGACCATTTCTAACATAAAACATTTGATGAATGCATCTCTTTAACCTATCTGTTTCCATGTTTTCTATTAAAGGTAGCATTAAAAACAGAAACAAAAGGTAAAAGCAACTATTCCATGGGAGGTTATGAGAGTTGTTATGGATTTGTCTAAGACACATTTGTCATGTACATTCTTAATTAGACTCCAGTAAATACATATTCTAAGCTTTCCCCACTTCACCGAAAGGGAATGTAGGTTTTTGACTACAAACATGCATGAACAGTTGTCATATTAAACACAGAGAAAACACTTTCTAAGGGTATAGAGCCTTCTGGGTAAAAATATTTACCCCAGATTTAAAAAATATTGATACTGACTCTTACTCACCATATGAAGGGATTCCATAGGGCTGGCCTGGCTGCGGGTATGTAGCATAAGCTGTAGCTTGCTGCATTCCTGTCGTAAACTGCGTCTGCCCATATGCGGCCATAGTTTGTGAGGAAGGGGTAGGAAGAATATGTGGGTATGGTCTGCTATTGATTATAAACGACAGAAAATAGAATTTGTATTAGACAAAGACATATGAGTACTTGTGTTAACTGACAGCCTTATTATATTAGCTTGATTAGCACATGGTCATAGACTGCATGAGAGAACAGAAGTTCTTAAAAAAATCTTTAAGGGTATGTCTTCACTACCAGCCGATCGGTGGGCAGTGATCAATCCAGCAGGGATCGATTTATCGCGTCTCGTCTAGATGCGATAAATCAATCCCCGAGTGCTCTCTTGTCGACTTCTGTACTCCAACTCGGCAAGAGGTGCAGGCAGAGCGATGGGGGAGCGGCAGCAGTCGACTCACCGTAGTGAAGACACCGCGGTAAGTAGATCTAAGTACGTCCACTTCAGCTACGTTATTCACGTAGCTGAAGTTGAGTAACCTAGATCGATCCACCCATTGTAGACCAGGCCTAAAATACAAACAACTAAAATAATATAAAATCACACACTTTCTCAAGAACAAGCTTTGGGTTAAACCTTGATTTAACAGAAAAACCCAATTATGATTCTAAATGAGGCTAAAATCTGCTTATTTATTTTGATTATTATTACTTAAAGAAGATAACTTACTTGGAAGGATAAATCTGTGTTGGGGAGAACTGATGAGTTTGTCTTGGGCTGAAGCCACTGCTTCCAATTGCTGCCCCAAGGAGAAAGGAAAGCACATCAAAATGTAAACACACACATCTAAGCTAAGTATTACTTTTTGGTAACAGAATTTCAGGATTTTAACAAGGTTTTAAATAAGTCCAAATATCATTAATATTCTGACCTACAAAGTAATGTTTTAATAGGGACAGGTACCAGCATAGGAATGCTCAATATTAAAATTAAATGCTTGATTAAATTACCCCTCTTTGCACAACTCCAGAGCAATAATTTATTTTTGCTTGCAGGCAGACGATATTTTCAAGGGAAACAAATTATTCTCAAATGATTGCCATTGGAAACCATGTCCTTCCATATTTTCAAAGGTTTACGATACTCCACCACAATGTTTGATTAATGTATAGTATATTAGACTCACAGAAATGTAGGGCTGGAAGGCTCTCAAGGGGTCATTTAGTCCAGCCCCCTGCACTGAGGCAGGACCAAGAAAACCTAAATCAGTAGTTCTCAACCAGGGGTATGTGTACCCCTGGGAGTACACAGAGGTCTTCCGGGGGTACATCAACTCATCTAGATATTTGCCTCTAGATACTTGCCTAGTTTCACAACAGGCTATATAAAAAACACCAGTGAAATCAGTACAAACTAAAAATTTTCCATACAATGATTTGTTTATACTGCTCTATATACATACACTGAAATGTAAGTACAATATTTATAATTTGTTTATTTCATAATTATATAGTAAAAATGAGAATAAACATTTTTTCAGTAATAGTGTTCTGTGACACTCCTGTATTTTTATGTCTGCTTTTGTACGCAAGTTGTTTTTAAGGGAGGTGAAACTTGGGGTACACAAGACAAACCAGATTCCTGAAAGGGGTACAGCAGTCTGGAAAGGTTGAGAGCCACTGACCTAGACCATCCCTGACAGGTGTTTGCTTAATCTGTTCTTAAAATCTTCCAATGATGGGGATTCCACAACCTTGAAAGCCCATTCCAGAACTTAGTACCTTTATAGTAGAAAGTTCCTCCTAATATCCAACCTAAATGTTTCTTGCTGCAGTTTAAGCCAATTATTTCCCTCAGTTTATTTGTCTCAAGACTAAGTAAGCCCAGTTTGTGCAACTCTTCCACATAGGTTAGATTTTCTAAATCTTTCATCAGTTTTGTTGCTCTCCTCTGGACTCTCTCCTATTTGTTCATATCTTTCTTAAAGTGTGGTGCCCAGAATCAATTTGTGATCTACTATGTCCCTCCCCCACCCCGATCCTTTTCGGCATTACTACCACTTAGCCAGTTATTCACTAGTTTGTAGTTGTACATTTGATTTTTCCTTTCTCACTGTCACACTCTGTACTTGTCCTTATTGAATGTCATCTTGTTGATTTTAGACCAATTCTCGAATTTGTCAAGGTCATTTGGCATTCTAATCCTGTCTTTCAAAGTGCTTGCAACCCCTCCTAGTTTAGTGTATTCTGCAAATTTTATAAGCATACTCTCCACTTCATTAGCCAAGTCATTAATGAAAATGTTGAATAATACCAGACCTGGGACAGACTCCTATGGCACCCCACTAGATATCTCCTCCCAATTCATCAGCAAACTATTGATAACCACTTTTTGAATATGGTCTTTCAACCACTTCTGTACCCATTTTATAGTAATTTAATCTAGACCGCATATCCTTAATTTGTTTATGACAATGTCACATGGCACTCTATCAAAAGTTTTACTACAATCAAAATATATCACTTCTACAGCTTCCCTATAATAGTCCCTATCTCAGTAAACCTGGTAAAGAAGGAAATTAGTTGGTTTGGCATGATTTGTTCTCGACAAATACAGGTTAGCTATTATAACTTTATTATTCTCTAGATGCTTACAGATTGATTGTTTAATAATTTGGCATTAAACACCTAAGCCTTCTTGATGTCATCCATTATTTACTCTGCTTCCCCACAAAGTAGAAGACCTACACTTTTCTTTGTCTTTCTCTTGTTCCTAATGTGTTTATCTAACTTCTTCTTACTGCCTTTTATGTCCCTTGCTAGGTATAACTCCTTTTGTAACTCATTTTTTGCTTTAGCCTTTCTGATTTTGTCCCTCCATACTTTTTGCTATTCTTTTGTACTCCATTTTAGCAATTTGTCCAAGTTTCCACTTTTTGTATTCAAAGATCTGTATTTCATAACAAAATTCTAAGTATGTTTCCTATTGAAAACATACAGGTAACTTCATAGCAAGTCTCTCTTTTTAAAATAATTCTGTTGTACAAAGGCTATACTACAGCTTCCACTTTCAGCTTCTTTCCTTGCACTATATACTTATTTCTAATCCGTTTTCAGACTTTGATAACTTTTAGTATTTCATAAAGATGTCATAATGAAATAGCATATTGTCTTAATGAAACACTGTTAAGTGTGTAAGACCAAGAAATTAACCTAACAGGTGTTTTTTTTCTGAAGCTCAGATTAAGAGCTCCAACTTCCTATTTGTAACCCCACAACCAATCCGTGTTAACACAGAAGTTTAAAATTCATAGAAGATCTTTGCGACCTTTCAGGGCACTAAAGAGAAAGAAGGTCAGCTATGCATTTGTATGCTGTGCCTTCTGCTCATCATTATACTATAAAGTGCAAGGCCATACACTTTGGGAGTGTATTAGCTGATCACAGGATGACTATGAGCTACAAATGTGATGTAGCCATGAAAAAGGCAAATATGATCCTAAATGGCATCAGGCGAGGTATTTCTGATAGAGGTAGGGACATATTAATGCCATTGAAGAAGGCACTGGTAAGACCTGATCTGGAATACTGCATACAATGCTAAAGAAAGGAATTCAAACTGAGACAGGTGTAGAGAAGGGGTACTAGGATGATTAGGAAACTGGAGATCCTGTTTTACAAGACGATACTAAAAGATCTTGGCTTGTTTAGTCTAGCAAAATGAATGCTGAGAGGAGATGTAATACATCAGAGGACTAAATATAAGGGAGGGAGAAGAGTTATTTAACTAAAAGACAAGGGTGGCTCAAGAACAAATGGGTATAAACTGGCTATGAGTAAATTTAGGCTGGAAATTAGAAGAAAGTTTCTAACCGTCAGAGAAGTGAAGTTCTGGAATAGCCTCTCGATAGCAATAGAGAGGGCAAGCAATCTTATTAGCTCTAAAACAGGGCTTGATAAATTTATTAATGGGATTATATGACAAATTCTAAATATACCAGACGACTGGACTGAAGGATCCAGGAGGTTCCTGTGTCAGGTTCCCTGCAGGGTGTCACCTGGAACTGGGGTATCCCTGAACCCGCCTGACTCACCAGTCTGGGCTCTCTTTACTTTGTACTGCTGTGACAGGCCCTCAAGCCCCCTCCAGCACACATACAGGTAGGGACACACCCAGCTGCAGCTGCACACAGATGCTGAGATTAGCTCTCCATGGGAAGGCTCAGCTAAGGCACCTCCCAGTTCCTAAGGCACGCACTCCCCTCTGGAGTGCAAACCCAAAATTATACTATGTTGTGCTACACAGGAAATTGTACAGCATAAGATCATGAAATTCGCCCCCTCCCTCAATGGAAGATATTCAACAGCTTTCTGCCCCCAGTTATGATTTTCACCCGCTGGTTTTAGACAAAAACAAGTTTATTAACTGCAAAAGATAGATGTTAAGTGATTATAATGGAGAGCAAACAGATCAAAGCAGATTACCTAGCAAATAAAACAAAAATGCTATTTAAGCTTAATATACTAAAGAAATTGGAGATGAGTAGCAAATTCTCACCTAATTGTTGGTTTAGGCAGTTTGCAAAGATTCTCAAGGGCAAGCTGCACTTGCTTGCAGCTTAAAATCCCAGGTATGCCTTTCACAGGCTAGAAATCCCTCTAGCCTGGATTCAGCCCTTCTCCCCCAGTTCAGTCCTTGTTTCTTAGGTGTTTCCAAGTGTCTCCTTTGGGCGGGGAATCAGTGAAGAACCACAATGATGTCACTCCCCTGCCTTAAATAGCTTTTGCATATGGCAGGAATACTTTGTCTCCCAGCTTGATTCCCACACCCAGTCAGTGGAAAAACACTAGTATTCTATGATGGAGTTCAGTACCAGATGACTTGGTCACATGCCCCTGAGGGACACAGCAGCCATGACTCGGAGGCTGTTTGTAGCATCCTCAGGAAGGCTCCCAGGTGGGAGATTAATATCTTCTAAGACCTACTGTTCTCCCTAATGGCCCTTCTCAGCCAACCATCTAGACTGATTGCATTCTGCTTAGTGGGCGTTCCCCAGGTGTAAACACATTTGTAATAGATGCATAGACAATATTCCTAACTTCAGATACCAAAATGATACATGCATCCAAATAGGCTAATCACATTCAGTAAATCATAACCTTTTCAATGATATCTCACAAACTTTATCTTGCACAAAACACATTATGGTTATGCCATACTCATATCACAATAATGTCTCTCTGAAGAATATGGGACATAGTGTCACAGTTCCTTCCAGTTCTATGTCCCTATTATTTTTTAGAGCTTCCAAGAAGAAAGCCTTCTTCTCTCTGATTACTATTTGGGTCCCATTTATTCTCTATGCCCAAGATCTCTTTTGAGTCCCTCACACGGAAGAGGTCAATTTCAGGTTGTGAGATCACCGTAAAATATCTTTCCTGGTATGAACCAAGCAGAAAATTACATGCCTATTGTCAGGCACTTGGAATCAAATAGAGCATGCACAATGTACCACCTGATATAATTTCTGAAGACTGTCAAGCTGGGCAGAATCTGATTTTGTCCCTATGAAGCATGCAGATTTGATCTCAGTACTACAGAATTATTTCTGAGTGAGCATTACCAAGAAAGATATCAAAGAATTTTTTTCCTGTTTTCCCTTACTTTTATCTCGTTTGTGTCAAGCCCAAAGTAAATACACCCCAGCTATATAATCTACATTATATATATATATATATATATATATTACAAGAATCTCTGTAAATAATGTACAGTCTAAGAGTGTTCTCACACACTGTGCTTTCAAACAGCTGGGAAAAAATGGAGACGTAAAATCAGGACAGTATCTTTCAGAGAAGTTAGTATATTGGCACCCAAGTATTCAAGGATTGTTAAAGTCAATTATGATGGGCTCAATATTTCCCTCATCAAACCTCTGTTTTGTACAGCAGAGGCTGTCATGGAACCAGTTATATCTACCTATTCTGGTGTAGACCAAGCATCTGGATTGTCTAGGATCTGCTGAAATTTACGCCCACATACCTTATACTACTAGAGGTTCGACACAAGGCTCTGTCGTCACACCCCTCATCTTACCTCCAACATACCCCTCACATATACCCTACACTGAGGAGAGTGAATGTGTGGTCTAGTATAGGAGTTGCCTCTGGTGGGTTTATGTCAGTTGGCAGTTACCCTCTACTAGGGAACTGTTTGCTGGCCAGCTACAGCCAGAATCTATCCTCTTTGCCCTGTCTGAGAGGCTCAAAGGGGATGGAGTGTAATGTACAACCGATCCCTATTCCTCTTAAGTTCAAAATCTTGAGTTTAGATCTCTGAATGTTCTTGAAGGTATTACAAGCAGTTATTGGCCAATCTTTAGCACATCAGCACACACATATGTGGCCTATATCCATCAATCGAGACACATCATCTGGTCAATTTTTGAGGTGAATCTTTAAAGTCGACCTGAGTCTGCAAATACCACTGTAATTACCGTAGTTCTATTGCATCTCTCTGCAATCATGATTGTAACTTATGAGTTCACAATTAGGTGGAAAATTCCGAACGATAAAAACAGTAATGTAGAAATAACAGTGTTGATACACACATTTTGGATTAATATGCACCCTTTCCCCACCGTTTAGAGACCTATTTGCACAAATGGAAAATGTAAATATTTGCACTTTTTGGGGAGCAGCCAGAATTCAGAAGGCATCATAAAGGTAAGCAAGCAAGGAGGAGGATTTTAGACTTTTATCCCATTCACAATGCAAACTAGAGCATGCAGATATGGATCTGCTAGCCATCAGAAAACAAAAACAAAACAAAACAAAACAACAGTTTGAGCCATACTACTGCCCCAATCCTGAGTGGAGCTCCCAGTGAAGTTATCCATGGATCTCAATGAGTTGATCTCGCATTTCTTACTCATGGAAAATTCCCACTGACCTGAGTAAGGTGTGTAAGATCAGGCCCCGATAGAATGTGCGAGCTACAGACTGTACACAACCTTTTATTTTTAACTTCTGCATACAGTATTTAGACTGTAAGAGGGGAAGAAAATACACCTCTACCTCGATATAACGCTGTCCTCGGGAGCCAAAAAATCTTACTGCATTATAGGTGAAACTGCGTTATATCGAACTTGCTTTGATCCACCGGAGTGCACAGCCCTGCCCCTCCGGAGCACTGCTTTACTGCGTTATATCTGAATTTGTGTTATATCGGGTTGCGTTATATCGAGGTAGCGGTGTAATAAGTGAAAAATATCTTTATTTATTTCTTACCTGATCCTGAGAAATTGTCTAAAGACTCGTCTGCTGTAGTCGTAGCAATCTCACTGCTGCTCATTGGTTCTGTTTTAACTAGAAGTATAAATCATAAATAATCTAAATGCTCCTAATATTCATGCACACATACTATTCACAAAATACCACTAAAACACAATCTTCTAACAAATATTTGCTACCTGTCTTTTTGTGTAAATATAAACACACACACACACACAGATTTGTTTCTGTCCCCAAGGAATAAAAGCCACTGTAACAAACTAGAAGATATTGTCATGGACAGATCACCCAATGAGTCCCCATGCAACTTTGTGCACTCCTAGGATTCTTAATCCTTTACAACCAATGTATCTATAAGAACAATTCAGAGAGCCATGGTTTGTTGGTTGCAGAAATAAGTTTTCAGAATGATCTGAATGAGGCAAAAATTGAAGGATTCTCTTAATGGATTTCTTCTCGGTTGGTTGAAAACTTTTTGTCCAAAATATTTGTGATGGAAATTTGGGTTTTCAACCAAACAAAATTTTTCATGGAAAGTGTCTGCTTCCAGCTGAAAATTTCAGTATTTTGAAGAATTGAACACCTGACAAATTATCTTTTTTTCAGCCAAAATCCACATTATTTTCAGTATTCATTTTTCCCCCTAAAAAAAAAAAAAAAAAAAAACCAACCACCAGAATTGTCAATGGGAAATTTAGACAAACTTTTTCTTCAATTTTCACTGAAATTTTCCTTGGAAAAAAATCCCTATTTTCCAACCAGCTCTAATTTCTTTCTCAAATTAAAATTCTGCTCTGAAAAGTGATTGTCCGACTATACCGAAAGAAGGATGGGAGACATTTTATATGATTTTAATCAGGCCATAACTTTATTATTAGATGTCTGGAACTACACGGCCGATAAAAGTGAACAGTGCAGGTAACTCCATGTTCATTCAGTAAGTACCTGAGGGGCTTCTGCCAGCTCCCCCTCTTTTTCCATCCAGGTCCCCCGCCAATCCATTGCTGGGACCTTGCTATCCACCCCTCCCCCTCAGAGGTGGGCTGTAAGAAAGGGAGGTTGGTTCCCTGCCATACCATCCATAGGAGCCCCTAGCCTCCCCCCCCCATTCCGTTTCTTTAACTAACACCTCCTTTTAAAATCCTTTACCAGGCCATTTATCGGGTCACTGTGTCCCTTCCCTACGGAGTACCTGTACTGGACATCTGCCACAAGGAGGTGTCAGTAAATTGCTTGGCTGCCTCCCCCCCAACCCCGCTGGGTTCCCAGACATCTCCCAATGGCCTCTTCTCAGAATTCTGCTCTGAAAAGTGACTGCATAAGAATGACTTCTTACTTAGCAACTCTGTTCATATTCAGCTACGCAGCTAGTTACTTTATTGACAGAAAAGTTTTTACAACTTTTTACTCTGGTTTACATGGCAGAGCCAACACAGATTTTTAAGAGCAAGAGAGCTAGACTCTCTTCCGGCTCATGCTTCATCAACAAAATTATTAGTTCTATTCTCAGTTATTCCAGTACAACCTTACTTAGTGCCCACATCCTCAAGTAGAAGGCAGGGCACAGAGCTGGCCCTAATTTAGCTTGGATGTAACTATGGGCAAAATTTAAAGGCAACGGCTTTGCCCAAGAAATCATTAAGACAACATAAGCTACCGTACAATGCCATTTCATCATACCAGCCTTTCCGAGTACACCATGCTTTAAGCAACTAAATGTATATCTACAGCCTTGAATCCAGCTTAGTAAATGATTTTGCCTGGGAATTAGAACTAATCATTGACAGGAATCCCATGGAACTTGCAAAATATGCAGGAGTCTCCCCAGGTATCTTTTTCTCTCTGTCCTTAGATCAAATCCCCTTTTGATGCCCTATCTCCCATTTTCCCAGCCATGAGTGTGCATGTTAGTGTGTGCGTGTTAGCATGACTGTGTAAGGTAATATAATTTATTCAGGGGAAGTCATTAGATTGACAGAAGGGGCCCCTGTCTTCCCTAGCACTCTGTGCATGCCTTTTCCCCTTTTACTTGACCTCAGCCAAATGATCTATCCCTAACCCCTCAAGCTTCTTCTCCTCCCTGGCTACTCTCTTTTCACTCCCATATAGGGTTCTTTGCCTGTAATCCCTACCTCATGGAGATCCAGATTAGGCCCAGGCAGAGTTTATAAACTCTAGTGCACTCATTGAACTACTCCTACTTCTAATAACTCCACCAAAAAAAATCCCTGTTAATAGGGAAAGGGAGGGGAAACAGAGGCAGAAAGAGCCCAATGACTGGCCCATGGTCACATAGCAGATCAATGGCAGAGCCAGGAATAGAACACAGGTCTCCTGGGACACATACCAGTCCAGTACCCTATACACTAGACCAGCTGCCTCTCTGCAGAGTATGCATGTATCCCTCTATAGACTGTGAATAAGTGTCACTCCACACCCTGCCCACCACTTTGTGACTCTTTCTAGCCCAATCTTCATAAGGCAGTTATTCTCATGGGAATGATGCTGGGGGATTTGTTAACAAATGGGATGGGGGAAAAAGAAAGAAAAAGAAAAGAAAAAGCTGCACCTCGCTTGGGAGCTGCGATAGATGGAAGCTAATTTACACTAGCACTGTTTCCCCCAAACTTCTCCGCTGTTCAGTATTGTGGAGCCCATTCTATGCCTTTTTGGCTTTTGTGGAATAGAATAACCTTCTTCCCAGATATGCAGGGCCACTGCATTGCTGGCATCTGCAGCAATTCAGGTGCTCTCATGGTTCAGAGCTCTAACATATCATTTCTTCTGGAGAGTGCCTTTTTTGGAGGAATATTAATTTTCTAACTGGAAGAAAATGCCATAGTTGAAATAAAAACCTGGTTCATATCTGCTGCTTGCATTTCATCTGGATTTCATATTTTTGTTACAGAGCCATTAAAGGAAAAAAATGATCAAAGTCTAGCTTCACCCTCTATGACTTAACAATATTTTACTGCAATAATTTTTAGAGTTGAAAACTTCTAAACTGTTTCTAAACCATATAATGCTTCCTAAAATAAAGAGGAAACAAATATATAAAATATACTGGGAGCTGCATGGTCAAAGCAACAAATGTAACACTAACAGATGACCGACACAATTTAAATTTGACACCATTTACCCCAAATTCCTCTACAATATGTCCCATCTCAACTGTTATGTTTCTTGCATATATGAAAATTAGGGTAAGAAAGTGAGGATGCAACAGAGGTCCTGATCTGGATTCTCATTTGTAAGTGTAATTTACAAATAAGCTTTACTAGACCTTCATGATGAAGAATCATGACCCTCATAGAGCTTCATGCTGCAGTTAATCAGTAATTTAATAGTGATGAATAGGAACTGAAGAGCCTTCCTCCCGCAAGCAGCCACAGTTTTATCAAAATGTCAGCAAGTAATTGCATACTTTGATCTGTCTAGGACCCAAGAAAGTAACGTTGGAGGCTCATAGTTTGTTACGCAAAGAAATACATTCAGAAATGACAGCATAGCATTCTATCCCGCAGAAATCACTTACAAACAGCCATGGATTCTGACTGCAGAGAGCACTGTTCAACCCATCCAAAAGACAAACTGACCTAACTGAATGGTGAGGAGAGAAGCTAAAAGAGGGCAGTGAGAAGAGATGAGCTGGGAATAAAAGCAAGACATGCAACCCTATCAGAACATCGTTTCACTGATCTATTTCAGAGTAGCAGCCGTGTTAGTCTGCATCAGCAAAAAGAACGAGGAGTACTTGTGGCACCTTAGAGACTAACAAATTTATTCGAGCATAAGTTTTCACGGGCTAAAACCCACTTAATCAGATGCATGCTTATGCTCAAATAAATTTGTTAGTCTCTAAGGTGCCACAAGTACTCCTCGTTCTTTTCACTGATCTATGTGTAGCAAGTGGAAATGGAGCCGTCCAATGAAGCAAAACTCTGGAAAGTCATGGTACCTTATTCTGTTCATAGCAAGTACAGTACCACCCTTCCTTACCGCATGTGCTGTTTTTTCCCTGTTGCCTAGTAAATGCTTCCTAAATGTGCTGCGGACTGTAACTTCTCTACTTCTCTCCCATACATTAAAGTATCTGCAAGCTGCTCTAAGCCCTCACAGTATGTCTCTGAGCTACCATTGGGACTGGTACCACAACGATGCAGAACATATATTGCAAGTTTTTCTGGATAATTTTTAACAATTGTGAGATAGAAGAAAGGGCTGGCTGACAGTTCCCACTGATGCTGCTCAGTAGCTCAAACTGAATGTTAAGCTAGTAAATGGAGGTGGCACTACTATTAGTTAAGATATGTTTTGATTACTTTCACCTGAATCAACTCAAGCCCAGGATTCAAACTCAGGCTCCAGCCTAGCTCCCCTTCTGTCTACACACAAATTGCCCTAACCCAGGGCTTGGACCCAGGGTCCCAGAACACTAAAGGGATGGAGAGTCTGAGCCTGTATCAAGCTGGGACCTACAGTTCAAGTCCTACAGTTTTCCCACACTGCACCATGAACAAACGGCTAGAACAGCCACATTTTGAGAGGGCACTAGGAAGTCTGGGATATGGGTGGTTGGACTCGAACCTGCATAATGCAGCATAGATGCTGGAACTCCCGGTTGGGACCCAGAGTTCAACAATTCCTAATCTGGGGTTACAAATGAGTGTAGATGCTCAAGCCCTTGGTTAACAAACCCAGGGACTGCTAAATCGAGTTCTAATAACTCTGGGTTTACATCGCTTTCCATGGCACAGCTTCAAGGTATTTTCAGAAGTGAAATATTATCCCTCCTTCTTCATAGAGAGCGCACAATTCATCGCTGTGCTGCTGAGTTTCTATGCTGCTGAAACACCAGTGACACAAAGCTGCACTAAAACAGAGGTGAATCATGCCCAGGCTGTTCGTAGGAGTTCCAGGAATAGAACCCAGATGGGTTCTTTGCTGCAAACATCCCTTGCTAAGGAATAGCGTCAACATCATGCACAACTCATTTAGATTGGTTTGTAAATCAAAGGAATCTGTACAATCTGTGCAAGTGGAATGTTTGTGCCAACTATTCTTTGGTATAATTG